TTTATTCTCCAGGTGCACAGTATTTATATTGTAAAAACACTTTACAGTACAGTATTTTGTTTATTTTTTTTATACTCACTATTCTATTATTTTTATACATTTTTCTAAGGTCCACATTTGTGTGACAATTTTTGCTATAATCCTTTGCCCCTCTAAACATCCCAATTTCCCCATTTTGGGACAATAAAGGGATTTTCTATTCTATTCTAAATAAAGGTAACTGTTAATACAACTAGTCACTGTTTGCCTCATAGTTTTATTTTATTTATTCAACAAAAACTGTTTCCATTGTGTCACCATATTTGACTTTAATACCATGGTTATTACTTTTGATCACATGAGCTGCATCTTTTCTTTCCCCTCACAGCTTAAGCCTGTAGTAACGTGGATGGTCAGCAGAGGGCGCACTTCCTGTCTGTATCATCATACAAATGCAGTGCTGGCAACAGTAACAGCTGTTTCAGCTTCATTTTAGCAAACTAAAATGCCACACATGACTTGCAGGTGTTATTACTGTCAGGATTTTCCTGTAAAGCAAAAAAAAAAAACTACTCCCATCTTTAGCATTTTTGCATTTATTCTTTTAAGTTACTGAGTGGATAACGTTTTAGAGGCTCCTTTTGCAGCTTGGCAGTTCTGCTCCAGGATGAATAATGTATTTAAGTTTTCCATGTTCATTATCTCAGCCTGCTGCCCAATTATCTCACCCTCTTCCATCAATCACTTTTTCACTACCACTTCTTCATTTAGGTTCCATCAAATTTCATCCTCACCTGCTGCACCAGCAGTCATGTCACTGATCCTGGAGTTAATGCTCCCCCGTGCCATTCTCCAGACAGGCATGGTGAATGATAGACTTTATCTGGGAGCCATAGTCATCATCATTACAAGGAATCTAGGCTTGGAGGGTTTCACTCTGTGTAAGCTATCATTCAAAAATATTAAACTATTTCATTACTTTACATTTTAGATGCACCTATGGATGGGCTGTAATTCTGTCTAGTGCAACATGCCCTCGTTGTTGCAGACATTTCAATCCCTAATGGTTGCACTCTGAGTAAAAACCAGTAGAAGTCTGCATTTAAACAGAGCTAACGTAGAATGGATTTAGTTAGAAGCAGTAATCTTATGAAATAAGATCAATTATATTGTTAGCAAGGCTCTGAGCAACACAAATCAGAGGTGGTTGTAAAGTTTAAAATGTGAATGGCGATCTTGTTGTAAATCCTAATTTATTCTTCCTCCTCCTCAAAACAAGCACCCATCCAAAGGTTGACCTGTAGTGAAATGGCGGAGTTTTGCATGAGATATGGAAAGACTGAAAAAGGCAGGATTTCATGATCAAACATCCTCTGCAACCGTTTCAAAGAAACAGATGAAAACCATGAGTCCTGGTCAGTGATTTACATTCAGATCATTTATTCCTAGTGATGTTTCCTGCAGAACTACTGGAATCCCCCGCTCCCTCTGCTGAGGAATGATCCCCCATAATGACCCCAAGATGCACCTATTGCACAATTACACCATCAAGTAAACCCCAAACTAAGAAATCATCTCATTGCTTGGTGTCAGAAGATGTTCCAGTCTGTTAAATTGAGGAGTTTAGACTACAAGCAGCACCAAATCAATTATTGACATAAGTTGGATAAAATCAGATTATAGAGGAACGTGGTCGGAATAATTACACAGATTAGAACTTAATAAGTTTCATAGATTCCTATTTTCACCATGTCTAGATTTAGTTTTCCATTGTCTATCAAACTGTGGTTCTTATGTTAGCTTTAACAAAGCTTAACATACATCAATTACATTCAATTAATAAATACTTTATGAATCCCAAAGGAAGATTTACAAATGAAGTGTATAATCAATTGGATTATACACTTAATCCATCAGAAATTGATACATCAGAAATCCCCCCCATCATTGGCCATCCCTGTGACTAATATAAATCTATTATTTTCTGTATTTTATTTAACTCTTCTCTTGCCCAGTTCACAGTTGAAAGCGAGAATCTAATGTTTTTGTGGCAGTTACACACTTATACCCTCTGAGGGCGCTGTCACACCTTGCCGATTTAGCCAGCATCTGCCTGACGTCCCAGAATCTCCTAAAACGCTGGCATACGCTGAACTTTCTATGTATTTTTTTTTATATTTTGGGTGCATTTATAGAGCATTTATAACGAGTCCAGAGCGTATGTCCAACGACAGCCTAACTTCGCATTACATACGGCAGCGACCCATAAAATGATGCACAATCCAGTGTCCTGACGGGGGAAGCCTGCATAAAAAGATGTCTTTGATTGTGGTTTTAACCTAGCTGCTGTTTTCTGCACGCTAAAAAAGAAAAAAGAAAGAAGGTTTACAGTCATTCCAAAGAGCTTTAAAAAATCCACTGGATTTTGTTTCCAAGTTTGAAGACGTTTCACTTCCCATCCAGGAAGCTTTTCAATAAAAAAAAACAAACTTTTTTATTTTTATTTAGAACCACACATGCAGTGAACTGTTCTAAAAGCAGCACAAATGGGTTTTTATTCCACTGTCAAACATTAATTTTCACAATCTAATATCTGTTTTTGTTTTTTTATATTGGCTCCCAGTTTCTGTCATCAAGGTACCAAAAGGTGCAGCAAAAAACAAAACAAAAAAACATAAGACATGTCCCCAGATTTCTCATTTGAAAAAGTCATATCATACATGTGCATCATCAATTTAGCACATTTGGCACATCTGAATTTTTATGCTCCATTAACACGTTAATTTTGTTGCGATGGATTTGTATAAAATGTCATATTACATGATTTATAGACTTCATTGACTTCATAATGAATATGCAATGTGATTGACCTATTTTTTTATTAGTTAAAGTAATCCACTGATGCTATGAAACAGTCAGTGTGTGTCAAAGTGATGAATTTATCTTTATTTTAAAAGTCTTAAAGTATCTTCATCTTTGTTCAATACTGTAGCACACATATTGTTTACATTGCGACCAGTCTAACTAGGGAGTACCAATATGGCGGCTCCACTTCAACCTTGTACTACCAACGGGCAATCGGCAATCCAGTGAATAAATAGAGATCAGTGGTCAAAACCCTGCTGACACTTAACTCTTGCTGTTTTCTGAAACTTGGCAGCTCTAGTTATGTATCTATATTTTATATTTCTGTCAATAAATGGGGGAGTGGAGGCCTAGTGGTTAGGGCATAGAGCTTGGAATCCTGAGGTTGTGAGTGTAAAAACCACTCCCACAGACTGCCACTCTGGCTCCCTGAGCAAGACCCATAACCATACTGTACTGCTCCCCTGGCGCTGCACAATGGCAGCCCACTGCTCCCCAAGGGGATGGGTTAAATGCAGAGACTGAATATCATTGCTCTGTACTTGTGACGGTGTAATGACATTAAAACTCTGAAAAA